GTCTGTCTGTACCTGTCTGTCTGTACCTGTCTGCACCTGTCTGTACCTGACTGTCTGTACCCGTCTGTCTGTATCTGACTGTCGGTACCCGTCTGTCTGTACCTGTCTGTCTTCACCTGTCTGTCTCTCAGATGTGGCAGTGTTGACCTGTCTGTCTCCACCTGTCTGTCTCTCAGGTGTGGCAGTGGTGGCCTGTCTCTGTCTCTACCTGTCTGTCTCTCAGGTGTGCTGGTGGCAGTGTTGACCTGTCTGTCTCCACCTGTCTGTCTCTCAGGATTGGCAGTGTTGACCTGTCTCTGTCTCCACCTGTCTGTTTCTCATGTGTAGCAGTGTTGACCTGCGCTGGAGCCCGAGGCCCGAGGGCTTCGGGCCAATTATTATCATTACTTCATCGCTTCTCGGCCTTTTGGCTAAGATCAAGTGTAGTATCTGTTCTTATCAGTTTAATATCTGATACGTCCCCTACCCGGGGACCATATATTAAATTGCTTTTTGGAACAGGGAGATGGAAAAGGGGCTTGGGTTGGGAACCGGAGGGTCGCCTGTTCAAGTCCCCGTCCGGACCAAAATATGGAGCGTGGACTGGTAGCTGGAGAGGTGCCAGTTCACCTCCTGGGCACTGCCGAGGTGCCCCTGAGCAAGGCACCGAACCCCCCAACCGCTCAGAGCGCCTGTCATGGGCAGCCCACTCTGACATCTCTCCACTTAGTGCATGTATAGGTCCAGTTTGTGCATGTGTGTGTTTGGACCTGTGTGTAATTGACAACAGAGTGAAAAATTGAAAATTGAATTTCCCCTCGGGGATTAATAAAGTATATAAAATTAAATTAAAAAAATTAAATTACCTCAGACACAGGCCGGGCTCTGGCTTTTTTTTTAACCTGCCATTTAGAGACGTGTGTGTTTGTGTTCAACCGATTTAAACGGCAACACTTGAACGCAGCAGCCGCTGTGCCTCTCCCTCTCCGCTGCACGTCACTCATCATATTGTAGTGTCCGCCAGGACGTGTGGAAGGATGACGCGGTTATTCGGCAAACCGCCGTTTGTTACTGAACAGTACAGGTTACTGTTGGCCGTAACCACGCCAAAACAACCACAAAACAAGGACTTAGCTGTAACGTTAACTCGAACCATGCGCTGCTGCTCTCTCCTCCAGCTCGCTCCAAACACAAGCACACGCACTCACACAGCCCTCATCCTCGTCACTCTCGCACCCCGCTCACAGAACATTGACTTTACAACAGAACATTCACTGCAGGGTTGCTACAATATTTTACTGATCCCATTCATAAACACTGTGATAAGGTTTGTTTTGTTCGTGTTTGTAGCTTAGGCTTGGATAGACGTGTTTATGTGTTAATAGACCTGCCACCTACAATTTGCAATATCAGGCGCTGCAGTTGCAT